AAGAGGTGGAATTTGGAGACGGAATTGCCCACCATCAGTGACTGCAATGGCCGAATCGCACACAAGGATAGGCCTATATTATATACACATATGTACAATATAAGCCAAACTTTGTCGTATTTTCTTCTTCGTTATTCTTTCCTCTTCAGGCCGCTGGGATGTTCTGTCACTAAGGTTGACCTGGACAGGCAGGGTCGGAGCCCCGCCTCCTATATGATCTAATTTGAGACGATGGGAGCGTAAAAACACCTACATATTTTTAAAAAAAATTCAGACCAGATGCTGTTTTTAGTACACGCACACACACACACACACACACACACACACACACACACACACACACACACACACACACACACAGGCACACACACACACACAAAATGCCTTCTAAATAGCATGTGTTGTCAAGTTATACAACACCCAAAAAACAATAACAGCAACAACAAACAAACAAACAAAAAACTCTAATGACCCACGTAGTGGCCTCTTGACAGTGAAATGTGAACTTAAAACCCAGTTTTAGTTTAAAGTTTTCAGCGAGTGGAAGAAAGCTAAAACTGAAGGTTTAGAATAATGAGCAAAGCGTTTCTTATACACGAGAGTTCGACATCTCAGGGGCTAACAAAGGGGAGTATTAAAAGATATGTTTGGTCAATCATTACAGCGCTGAAATCGCTCTGCGTTCCTGGCTCGGCCAGATAGAATGTTGTGTTCATGGAAAAGAAAGGTAGAATTCTATAAAAATAACCTTCCGTCAATTCCCCAAACTGAAAGCATTGAGGAGGGACGGCTGTTGAGGCTGAACGAAGTTTCAATACATCGAAACGAATAAAGACATTCTCCCATTCTACAATCGGACAAGAGAGACTGAATGCTCTCACATTTAAATTGATCCACAAGGACATCATTGACAGCACCCCCGACTTCGTCAACAAAATTTGCTGCAGCAAAAGAACGAAGGGTATACTTCTTGTTCATGTAGATTTTGTCCCAACAAGTAGGATGAAGAATACATCTCATTTACCACCTGCTTTAAGTTAATTGTGCACGCCCACTTTTTAGACCCACGAGCCGCTCGCCCCTGGAGACTATTGCACTTTATGGCGAAGGCCCAGGGCCCTTTGTACATAATATGACTAAAAAGTTAGAACGGAAATCTGACTGAACAATCTCGTTTAGAAAGTTGTCGTGAATACAAAAGTATGAACTGACACGTTATGTACAGGCTGATCCCCCCAAAAAACTTAACAACTTTTTTTCTGAATATCTTGCACAAAATTTGTACTAGAATGTTGCAATTTGGAACTGATATAATTCATTCAAAAGAAATTTGTTTGACATAAAATTAATAAAGAAGAAACTTATTTTTTTAAAACGGAAATCGCTTTTATAAAAACCACCTATAAATGCAAAATGCAACAATTTTAAAGATCTTGTAAGAAAAGTCATAAAACGATTGGTTTGTTATTTCCTTTCCTTTTATTTATAAAATCTAATCTTTCAATCCCTGTAACCTTTAAACAATATTTCTTTCTCCTACAGAGTTAAAAAAACATATTTTTTAAGTACTGGAATTTCACGCTTTTCAAGACGATCGAGGAATCATGAACACGTTGCTATCCTCTGATAGCTTCACGAACGGGAAAATGAGACAGTCGTAGATGAAGATTTGCCTTGAGAATGCGGATTGTTGAGATGTAGGAAAGTCATTGGTGCAGACATCGTCTACGGGCAGACGTCTAATGGGGCTCATCTACTGAATTCCGCACCCTGGTGACGTTTAAAAGGGTGCGAACGGAGTGTGTTTGACCTGAAATGGCCGTTTTGTTTGGGAATTTTTAGTTCTGATTCTCTACAGGTCCTAACTGATGGACCATTTTCACCCTTGACATCAAAGAAGGCCTTAAGGGCACTCTGACATAATTTCCGTGCCTTGTGCGAAACTTACAAAATGAGTTGGTGTTGAGGAAATGTTCAATACAAAAAGCTCTTTGCTAGCATGCTCTTCACTAATCTTAACCATGATCTCAGCAGGCAAAAGAAACTTGAGAAAGACTATCTGCAAACTTCTTTTGGCCTGTTAGACTACTGTAGCTTGCAATACGGCGTAATCGTTAGGATTTTTAGTGATAGGTCTAATGCGAACTAGTGCGTCACTTTACAAAAATGGGGACATAGCTGATAATGGGTTGTTTTTTTACGCGCTATGTAGAGCAAAACTATTCTGCGGATTTATCTAAAATGAATATCAAACAAATTCCTTTTGACTTCTACATGTTGTGTCCAAATTTGAACCGCAAAACTTCAGTGTGGGGGAAATTTTTTTTTTTCAAGTTGTAAATTTTTGGTGGATCACCCTGTATATTATTATGTCGATTTTTTAAACATCTTTTTTTTCAGATGCTGGACTGTCTGTTTTCCTCTGTCAGCTCGACAGGCGTAGTTCTTCTGCTGTTGGTTTTTCTTTTCACTATTCTATGGATATTTACGCCTAAAAATCCTGGAAACATCCCACCTCAAGTTGGAATCAGGTGAAGAGAATATTCTGTTACGTTACACCCTTCATGAACATGTTACCATGACCCCTCCCCTCACAAAGCAATGTGCGGAGGAAATAGCCCCCCCCCCCCCCAAGGTTTCTGCTCCAAATAAAACTTTTAAAAAATGATTAAGGAGAAGTCTATTCATGAAGAAAAAGCACCGAGACCAGTGGTCCTGAATAAATTTCAGTTAAAGGATGCTCCCAAGGAGTAATTTAACAGACATTTTACAAGCTACTTATAAATATGCTACCTAAGGAAACGTTTCAATGTTATTATCTCATTGGTCTTGAAAATATCCCAGGCTCATCCTGGGCGGGCATACAATTAATATTGTCTTCCTCGTCTGCTCAGATTTTTGCGCATTGCCCGTCTAGTAGCTTATCTTTTTTTTTTCTTTGAGTGAGCAAATTGGTAACTGAATTGTGGAAAAATCAAAAGCAGAGTGGTAATTCTGAAAAACCCTCAATACCCCCCCCCCCCCCTCCCAACGTAAACGTTGTCTGGTAGTCCCGGATACCGAGTGGTTCCGGAATACAGGTTTTATTTATTCATTTAAAAAAAATGAATACCGTCAAACAGTCTCAAGCCGGCCAATCTCAATGAGACGGTTTCGAAATGGATGGCCATTGGGTTGCATTAAATAAGATAATCCGAGCTTAAAGAAACAGCTGTTTCAAAATCTAAATTCTACTGTAATCTATTGATTGTTTTGCTTGTCAAAATAAAGAAAATCATCCTTATTTATTCGTAGTTGAAAATGTGATCTTTTTTTTTCTTTTCTATGTCTTCCTCTCGCCCTATTTTGTTTTCTGGTGCAAAGCCTGCCTTTTTTAGGACACTACCACCTCCTTGACCACAATCCCCGCAAACAATGCATGAGATGGGCTAAGCAGCTGGGTGACATCTACAGCTTTTACATTGGGCAGAGACTCGTGGTCGTTTTGGCCAGTCATGAAATCCTAAAGGAAGCCCTAGTAAAAGAGGCACACGCTTTTGGACATCGGCCGGTCACTCCTGTTGGTGAGTCTTGACGTTGGAGAAAGTGTGTGTGGTGATTACGATTTTCCAATGGAATGGATTTTTGTTGTTGCTGTTTGTTTGTTGTTGTTTTTTTGGTAAGTGTTTTAGGGCGCTCGAAACTGTTTGAGGGCATCGCCGCGCCGGACACAATAAACATTACCAGTTGGTAGGAAATTTTTAATTTTGCCCCGGTTCTAGCCGAAGCCTACTCTTATCGATTTTGGACCACCAAGGGATCTTTAACGTTGGTAACTTGCACACGGAACCTCCAGGAGTTTTCACCTTTTCCCGAGAAGGCTATGTGTTAGATCTTACCTACCATAAGATTAGGGGTGTGGCTGAAAGATAGCTGTAAGAAGGAGCCAAGGAGTAGTGAGGGGGCAAAGGAGGTGAGGGGGTAGGGGCAGAAAGTGGAGACGAAAGCAGACGACAGAACATTGTTAGAGAGCAGGAAAGGGTGTGAAAGGAGAAAATTTAAAGAAGAACATTTTCCGTCGCTTTCTGGATTCGAACCCATGACCTACTGAATGAGAGGCGAACACCTTAACCTCTAGTCTCTAGACCACGATAGCCCCCTGAATTCAGTTTGGAGACGCCGGCCCGTTAAAACAACAATGTGAACAAAGAATGGAGGCTTTGCAGCTCATGTTAATGCTCTGGATAAAAAGAAGGCACTATGGGGTTCATCCAATATTCCAACAAAGTGATAATTTTGGCGACCACCACCACCTTTGTTTAAGAAATTCTGGGTGACGAAGAAAAGTGTGTAGTATTGGATATCTGGTTTATAGTACAGATGCTTTCTCTTTTCTACAGCAGCGATTAGTATAAATTCATTGGTGAATGTGGATTCCATTTTTGTTTTGTGCGACACTTGTCTATACACGTGTTCAAAACAGCAGACAATGAAAAAGCATGGGGCCAAGCTGGGGGACATTTTAGTGCTGCACGTACTAAAATGCTTCTGGATAAAAAAAAGGACCGGAAATGAAACCCACTGTGGCGGCGATGCAGAGAGAAAGAGACAATCCAGCTCCCACGTTTGTCGTACGGAGAGGTCAGCGGGTACAAAGCTAGAAACGTCTCCAAACCGGATAGCACTGTTCTTGCACTTTAAGAAGGTTAGCCCTCTACAAAGCGGTGCCCGCCTGAATTGAAATGGTTTTTACATCTCTAAACTATAATAATCATACACGTTGATGATTTTCATTTTGTTTCCATTTCTATTCCTTTAGGAGAAAAGCTTGGGCGAACGGACGTCGGACTGACCCTTGCTAATGGAGCGAACTGGAAAGAGCAGCGGACCGTGACAGTGAACATTCTCCGGGAAATGGGCATGGGCAAGGATTTGCTGGCGGACAAGATCAGCGAAGAAGCCGAACATTTCTTGAAATATGTCAAAGAAGAAGTCGGTGGAAGAACAGTTGACCTGGATTATCCAATCACGTTGGCTATATCGAACATTATTTGTAACATTCTCAAGGGAAGCCGTTTTGAGTACGACGACCCTTTCTTTAAAGAGATCGTAAGGGACATGTTTGAGAATTTCAAACTTCTCCAAGCCATTTCACCCACACGGTACTTTCCAATTCTTCTGCTTTTGCCTGGCGATTTGTGGGGGTCCAAAAGGCTATTCAGAAATTTCGTTAACGTAAAGGAATTATTTGCAAACAAATATATAAAAGAGATTGAAGCAGGCACTCAGCCAAATGCGAATTTCATTGCTTCCTATTTGAAAGAGATGCAGTCAAAGATGGATCGTGGTCAAAAGACATATCAGGACAAGAACCAGCTCCTCAACATCATCATTGATCTATTCAACGCTGGGACGGAAACAACGTCCACCACTATTAAATGGGCACTCGTTTACATGCTACGAAACCCTGAAGTTCAGGTAAGAATACACACACACACACACACTCTCTCTCTCTCTCTCTCTCTCTCTCTCTCTCTCTCTCTCTCTCTCTCTCTCTCTAACCAATATCGCCTCTGACGCGAGGCGACCCACACCTCTTTCAACCACATACAGGGTGTTCCAAAAAAAACCCCACTTTACAACTTGTTTTGTAAATACCTTCCTCCATACTGAAGTTTTGAATTTCAGATTTGGGCATAACGTTTGGAAGCCAAAAGGAATTTGTCTGATATGTATTTTAGATGTCCATAGAATGGTTTTGCTCTACATAGCGCATTAAAAAAACCCAACCCATTTTCAACCTTGTGGCCATTTTTATAGCATGTCGCACCAGTTCGCATCAGGCCTACTACTAAAAGTTGCAACAATAGCACCATATTGCGAGTTACAGCAGTCTAACAAGTCAATAAAAGTCTGCAGATATTATTTTTCCCAAATTTTGTTTGCCTGCTTAGATCATGGCTACATTTGGTAAAGAGCAGAGAGCTTTTGTATTGAACATTACCGCTCCACAAACCCACCATCCCTGACATTTCGTAAGTGTTCTAGGCACGGCATGGAGAGAATGCTTAGGTGCCCTCAAGACCCTTGGCGTCACTTTTAGGTGCTTTTTTCTTTTAGCCGTTTCCGTTTTCAAAACCATGTGTCTTCTTCGTGGAGTTAATATCTAACAAATTCCTTTTGAATGAATTATGTCTGTTCCAAATTACAGCGTTCTAGAGCAAATTTTGCGCGAGATATTCAGAAAAATAGCTGTAAAGGTTTTTTTTGGATCACCCTGTATTATTATACCTCGACTTTTTAAAGATAGATGACAGTTTTTTAAATCGAAAGCTGAACAAATGAACAACGTTTAAGTTTAACTTAGGTGATTCAGGTAACTCTGTGTTTAAAAAAAATAGTAATAAAAATTAATTAAAACATTTAAAAAATAAATTAAAAAAAAATCAAAGAGTGCCTCATTTCACCATGTCGTCACACACACACACACACACACACACACACACACACACAAACAAACAAACACACACACACACTCACTCTCTATATTACAATGTATAATACATACTTAACAGTTCCTGCTGTTGCTGTTCACTTTCTTTCAGAGTTTTTAGTTTTTCTCACCCCTTCTTTAATCGCCAGCTTGAAATTAAAAACAAAAACAACAACGAAGCAAAATCAACAAACTAGTCTATCATCTATGTCTCATTCTCTGTTCTCGGGGACAACTGCTTCGTTTGAAGTAAGAGCAGTAATATGTAATGCCGAATACAAATTAAGAGGATGAGTGCTTTTTGTTCCTACTGTTGCGTATTATGTTTTTGGTGTCGAGGTATTTTCAGAGCGAGTTTTTCTTCTTCTTTTAATCAGAGTGCCAAGTTTGCCGTTCCCATGCATGCACACGTTGAGTGGCCAACATACACATGGTTGACATCTTAAAATAATTTAAAATTTTTAAAAATGCTTTCTTCAAACCATGTCTTACTCTTGTTGCATTAACAGGAACGAGTGTATAGAGAAATAGAGGAGCACGTAGGGCTTGAGAAACGCCCCACGTTACAGGACCGACCCAAACTGAAGTACTTGAACGTTGTGATCATGGAGACTCAGAGGCTGGCCAGTATTGGACCCTTCATCGTACCACACGCATGTAGGCAAGACTATACATATCGCGGCTACTTCATTCCTAAGGTGAGTCAGCAGCAAGAGTTGTCTGTGTGGAATTACAATGTATTTACAGTCGAGCACAGATAACTCAAACACGTCAGGGATTGACAGTTCGCTACCTTAGAATTAAAGTTCTATTTGACATTTTGGCCTTTTGAGTTACTAGATTTAAGACCATGAGATCACAAACCAAGTAATGTTATATCAGCTCTACCATAATCGTAAGATTATTCGGAGTCGTTATCAGATCAAGATATTCAACTTCAAAGGATTGCATTCGAAAAAGCTTGACATGTTGTGAAACTCAAAATTGTTGACGTCAAATTTCTCAAAATTAGGTAGATTCTAGACCCACTAAGCAGATAGAACTTTGTAATTCTAAGTTAGCGACTGTGTTATGACGCAGTGGAATCAAGCGTTCGTCAATTTTGGGGCAAGTAAGTGGGGTTACCATATAGTATCGTCTTAATACTCTTAACCTGTTCATTTGTCTTGCTTTCAATGAGAAAAATACCCATCTGTCTTGAATAGATGTAGAGATATTTGCGATTGACGGAGGAGGGGATTGCTTGGTTTTAGAGGTAAAATTAGCGAGAAAGTGGTCGCTAAAGTTAAGTGACTTCCAATGCTTCAGAGTCCTAGTCCTAGGAAATTGCAAATTAAGATTTTTAGTGTCTTAAATCAACATTTTCCAGTACAATTCACACAGAAATGTGTTTTAAAATGGACATAATCATGAAAGGTGTTCAGCCAAAATAAGAAAACTCGAAAAAATTGCCGAACTGGCAGACAAATGCCGGTTTCTTCTCAACGTGCGCCTTTTTTCACCACGATGCCTCACTTTGATACATGATCCGTACTTCGGGTAAACCGATAAAAAATAATATAAGAGCTTATCAATCTTGCGGGGAATGGCAAATTGTACGGCGTATATAAGTGATTGGTGCCTGTTTCCCCAACGCCGAGGTGCACTCTCGTCACTCTTTGCTTCGTACTACGATCCACAGGGTTCGGTCGTGTTGCCATTTTTGGACAGCGTTCTGCACGACGAAAAAGCCTGGGGTGATCCCATGAACTTTCGACCGGAGAGGTTCTTTGACGAGGAAGGCAACATCGTGAAACCCGAAGAGTTCATCCCCTTCGCTGTGGGCAGGTAACCAGGTCTCCCCCCCCCCCTCCCATTACAGTGGCAGCCGCATTCAACGAGGTCACATTCAACGAGAAGTCGGCTCCAACGAGGCAATCGTTAATCCCCGATTTTTTCCTCTATATCTCTTTGTAAATGTACGTCGGCTCCAACGAGGTTGCAAACAGACCGAAGTCGCTTTCAACGAGGTCGCGATAACCAAATATGTTGTAAAAGCAATCAGCGGCCCCTAAAGCGAAGAATGTTTATCCTTTCTCCCCATGTGACGTGAAGCATAAGGCCCATCCTCGATCCCTAACACATTGTATTGCTAGATCTAAAGTGCCTCGTAATATGGACCCCAACGCCAAGAGGACGGGCGGGGGTTAGCCTAAGTAGGGATGAGTGGGAACGCGATGGGGGCTGTGTGAAACCATCTCTGGTGAAACTGGACGAACTCTGGATGGGTATGTCTAGATCGAAACCTTCATTTTTTTTTCTTCCCATGATCAGAAAATCCAAGCCCCCGCCTTCACTTTATGTAGCTAGATCTAGGCCTAGATGTGAGAGGGTACGTTTCCCGACGAGAAGTGTTCTGGAAAAAAAATGTTAATGCAGAAATGACGGTCAGAACACAGCTTAAACTCACGCACATTGATGCTGTTTGAGATTTTCGTCATCAGGGGGAACAACTGTTTTAGTTACATGTACTGGTATCCGTACATCGTGTAATATTATACATGTAATAACTGGTCTCCTTTCTTAGCCTCATTCACGTTCAACGATAGGTTGGATCCAACGAGGACAACAAGCCGGTCCCGGCAACCTCGTTGAATGCGACACTCACTGTATTTCTTACAGGATCTACTCTACACTAACGTTCTGAACGGGAATGACAGTCTAGTGTATGACTTCCATGGAAAGTCAGTCAGTCAGAGAGAGAGAGAGAGAGAGAGAGAGAGAGAGAGAGAGAGAGAGAGAGAGAGAGAGAGAGAGAGAGAGAGAGAGAGGGCACTCTGATGTTACTAATTTACATAATGACTTGTACTAAGTTGTACTGTAGTTTCGTTTCCAGTGTATCAGTAACAGTCAAACCTTCTTATACCGCCAGCCCCGCTTACCACCAGGTGTTGCCGATGTACGAAAGGGAACGTCTATAAACACAGCATTTATTCCGTTACACTAATTTTTTATACCGCCATCCACAAACTGTTGTGCGGTTCTTGTGGAAACTAATGTAAATTTGTCCCACTTTACCGCCAGCGAAAAGGTAGGCCAACACTTTACAACGGCACCCACACAGTGGCTGCTTGATACATGTACATGTAATCTCTTTCGCACACACATCTTTGCGAGCTCGGCTTATTTACTGTTCCGAGTTCCTAGCGCTTGTTGAATTTCTCCGGATTTGCATCTATTTTGAAAATGTTATACATGTACAGTGGAACTCGGATTCAACGAGAACTCGGATTCAACGACATGAGATAGATTCCCCGGTTTTTTTCTTCTTCTTTAAAATCAATAAAAAATAACCCGGATTCAACGAGCAACTAAATCAGCGAGCTCGGATTCAACGAGGTCGCTTCCACGGTGAACAGCCCCCGCAGACGCAGCTTCGCTCATTTTTCTTCCAGAACGAACTTTATCTATCCCCGGAAACCACCCATTGCACATGCATCGTGAGCCATTATTCACTAAGCCGATTGCATGCGACAAATCAGCGGCCTTTTTTCATACAACAAACACATGCGTTGTTGACACGCGCACATGTCTACTCTGGCGTGTGTCGGGGTCAGATGGGTAGCCTGCATGTGTGTGGCTGTGTGTGCGTTTGGGCACTAGCGGTCCGGGCTTTGAACGTCACAGATACAAACGCGTCACAGTCTTTTTTCCTCCTCGGCAACAGATCACTATTACGATGATAAGCTAATCTTGACGTTGATCTACATAATGATTTGTGCGCTGGTCTATGGAATAAAAAGTTGCCGTATGCTAGGCTCTACACAGCGACACAACTGTTTGGTAAATAATCGAGATGACTCAGGCGTGTGCATTTTTGAACGAATCGGGTCTTTTTTTTTTTACACAGCTCATAATATGCAGGCATTTCAGGCGCTACTTGTGACTTCTATTTAATTTATATATTACTTGCTTAGTGCCTGTAATTATCTACACAAAACCTCATTTTTGCTATAACGAACACTCGGATTCAACGAGATTTTAGGTCAGGCCCGGCGACCTCGTTGAATCCGAGTTCCACTGTAATTGATTTAGAAAAACCTGGGCTACTTCGACCAATACTAATAATTAATTTTTTTTAACCCCCCCCCCCCCCCCAACAAAATAGGGTTGAAAATTTAAAGTCGTTCGGAGAAACCTTAAAGGAACTGTACCAACTCAGCCTGTCAGCAAATTATAATGTATCTAGCGTCGCCAGATACATGTATATGTACACATGTATCAGCCCAATCACCTAAAGATAACGGGCGCCCGTAAGTCTTTTAAAAATTTATGTTGTGAGGACTCATGCTCACACCAACAGGATAGGTCTAGGTCTAACTAGATCTAACGCGAGGACTGACGAGATAATGTGTTAGGTAAAAAACCCGTCACATAATATACAGCCTAGCTCTTCTGATCTTTGTTTCTTTCTTACTACAGCTAGAGTTGTAACTGTAATTAGTTGCTACTTATATTTTTTTAACTTTGAGTGGCAATCGGGGCAAGAAAGATCTAGATGAGGTAAGACTGGCCATAGTTTGTCTCTCCAGTCTCTACCACTACTACAATACAATGTACCAGTCTTCCACTAGTCAAGATGGCAATCGATGGTATCCCGCTATACCGCCAACTTTATGTTATTCCCAAGCCCAATGCAGCGGTATAACTAGGTTCGGCTGTACGTACATAAATCATTCATGTTCAGGATGAGGGGTTCGAAAGAATGACATGAATAATTTTTATTAAATCTTGTTCTGTCTGTTTCTATCCCCGCCGTTTTATGCAAGAAAAATTCTGAAATTATGCAAAATGAGTCCAAAAACGTGAAATTATGCGATTCTGTTAATTTTAACAAAGAATGATACATGAAAATAATCAGAAATTATGCAAAAAAAAATTAAATTTTGCTAAATTATGCAGGGTGCATAAAACCACGGGGACAGCTTTTCACACCTGTGTCAACACAATTTAGAACATTTAGGACGCAGGCTTCCGACCCTGCCTGAGGAGAGGGTCAACCCGGGCTAAGAGGGATACAAATACAACATCCCAGCAGAAAGACAAAGATACTCGATAAAAATGTTCTGCGTGCGTGCGTGCGTGCGTGCGAAAGTGAAGGTGAAGGGCGTATCCGTAACACCACAGACGCCGGAATGACGTGTATGGAATGTCTCAGCATAGCGTAAAGCGAGCCTGTCCATGTGATCCATATATATTAATTATTATTGAGTGATGAACTTGATCAGCATGCGGACGTCTGAATCCTTTTAAATTATATCTGAGATTGGTCCGGATAGGTGCCAGTCTTCAGAATTTCAATTTCACAAACAAAGAAGAACTTGATGCTTTCTTTCTCACTTGCAGGAGTAGGCCAATGCAATGCAATGTTTGTTTAAAATTTTGTATATATGTATAAAACTGAGAGTTTTATGGTACCTGCAACACTAGTATTAGGTCATATAAAAATGATATATATACATGTATTTAAGTTTAAGTGCTGAAAATTACATTTTGAGGTGTTATGTTACAAGAGAGTAACAAACATAAAAAAGGAGGAGATAAGGGATGAATCTGATAGGACAGATGTTTGATAGGAAAGAAGGAGAAAACCACATCAGAGCACCCATCAACCACTCGCAATGTTTGTTTTCTACACGAATCTCACGTGAGTGTTTGACGGTAAAACATCACTACTGTGCTATGTCATGTAATTTGATGTGATACAAATACAATAAAGAAAAAGAAGGTCCAGCTGAACTTACTTTAAACAGCCAGACACAGATAACATAAACAAGGAAAACTTAAATCACGCACAGATTGAACAATTTGCCATTCCCCGACTGATATATCTTTAATTTTTCGGTATCGATTGACCCAATTTAATTGTATGGATGTGTCGAACACTTTGTTGTCAATCCTCTATGTGTTTGTTGACTTATTCGTGCTCGACGTGTACATTGTAGGCCAGCTTACTACACTCACTTCTTTCAATATTTTGTTGCAGTCTGTGTGTTTGGAAAAAAAGTGGATGGTTGGCGGGTGCTCTGGTGAGGATTGCTTGTTCTTTCCAAACATCTATAGTCCTTATCTCCCCTTTTTCTTTTTTATGTTTGTTACTCTCTTGTAACACCTCTAAACTTCTGGTGCTCATATGACCTTATGCAGTTGTGAGCGCCGTAAACCTCTACTAAAACTAAAAATAAGTGCAGCCAACTCATGTTGTAACATTATGAAACATTTCTTTCATACGTTCCCCCTTTCATTTGGCTGTTTCCTATAGTCGTGCGTGTTTGGGCGAGAGCATCGCTAAAGCAGAACTCTTCCTCTTCCTGTCCGCCATGATACAAGAGTTCCGCTTCCTGCCCGATCCCATTTCTGGACCCCCTGGATTGGAAGAAAAAGTGGGACTCACTCATCACCCTGTGCCCTTCCGCCTTCGAGCTGTGCCAAGAAATCCTTAACAAGAACATAATAATATGTTGTCAAATTACACATTCTTCTACAATGCATTTGAACCTTTGGTTTGTATGTAACATTAGCCCTGAGTTCTATCTCCTGCATTATGTTCTGCTTAGCTATGGTTATTGATTTTCCATTGCTCTCTTTCCTTTTGTGCTCTAATTCTGAAGGTTGCTTCAGGGGGAAAAATGTGGTGTAGGTGGTTAGGCGTACACAGCCATCGTTCCCATATTTAGCTTTGACTGATTATGAATTAAAAAACCCAGAGGGAAATACAGTTATCATTCATAATATATATACAGTCTAGCATGCACATAGCAAAATTGGGAAGAAATCTTTTCGTTATCTATAAGTTTCACTATGTACGTGTTTTAGATAAAAAGATTAAAATGCAGTTCTAAGAAAATTTGTTGGCTATGTGTGTGCTAGACGTACAAATAAGGTCTTCACTGATTATAACATATCGACAATAACTGTCGCTTTGTAACTCACATGAATCATGTCTTAATATAGGGCATGTTTACAGACTGGAAATCATGAAATAGGCCCTACAACACTTTTGGAAAACGCATGCATGTACTGTTGTATTCAGTTTTCTGGCACGCTTGACATTTGAACATTTGCAGTGTTTTTCTTTGAAAAAAGTAGGCTTGCCGTGTATTCATGAACTTAACACAGTTGACAACTGTTACAATTGATATACAGATCTGTGAATGATTCCTCAAAAGTTTCAAGTGGTTAACAAATGGACAGCAGTTAGGTGCTTCCCTGCCATATATAAATATAAGAGACCCAAGTTCGATTCCTGAATAGGCAGAGTTTTCATTGAGTATTTTCTTTCTGTTGGGATATTATTTTATCCCTCTCAGCTCGGGATGGCCCTGACAGACAGAGTCAAAACCCGCCTCCTAAATGATATAAATTGTGTTGATGGTGAGAAAACATCCACTTAAAACTGTAAAAAATTTTTTGAAACATAAACAAAACAAATTTTTTAAATCCAAATAGACACACAGGGCATCAGTAGGTACAGCCCCTCTGCAGATTGAAGGAACAGCCCCTTGCAGAAAACAGTTACACATCACAAAATGTGTCGTAGATGGTTACGATATTGCAAGTCTTCCTTTATTTCACTCAATGTAGTATAATAATCACATGTCAGTTTTAAGCATCTCACGGATTTTTCCCACATAAAACAGCAACAACTGACTGGTTTATTATTTCCTTCTTTGTACTTGTTAGATTTTCTTTGAAGGTGTACTACTCACAGTTTGATAAGAACTGCATTGATTTTTTGATGACCAAATTACAATAAAAATAGACTATCTTCACTCTGCTTAATATCTCAATTACTGTTCTTCGCAAGTGACATACAGTGGAACTCAGATTTAACGAGCTCGGATTCAACTAGAACTCGGATTCAACGAAAGAAGATGGATTCCCTGTTTTTCTTATTTAAAATCAATAACAATAACCTGGATTCAAAGAACGCTTAAATCTGCAAGCTCGGATTCAACGAAGTCACTTCCAGGGTGAACAGCCCCTGCAGACGTGGCTTCGCTCATTTTTCTTCCACAACAAAATTTATCTATTCCCGGAAACCATCCATTGCACCTGCATCGTGAACCAATATTCATTTAGCCCATTGCCTGCGACCAATCAGCGGCCTTCTTTCATACCAACACATGAGTTGTTGGCATGTGCACGTGTCTTCTACTCTAGCGTGTCTCGGGGTCGGATAGGCAGCCTGCACACATGTGACTGTGTGTGCGTGTCGGGGATGGGGGCGACACCACTGTCTGGGTGTGGAACGTACAAACGCGTCACAGCCCCCCCCCCCCCCCCCCCCGCAACTGATCAACATTACAATGATAAGCTACTCTTGATGAAGAACTACGTAATGCATTAGACGCTGGTCTATGGAATCAAAAGTTGCTGTGTGCTAGGCTCTACACAGCAATACAACTTTTTGGCAAATAATCGAGATGACACAGGTGAGCATTTGAACAAATCAGTCCTTTTTTTTTGTACAGCTCATAATATGAAGGCATTTCTTCAGGCACCACTTAAGTTGTTACTTCTCTTTATACTATTACTTGCTCAGTGCCTGTAATTATCTACACAAAAACATATTTACTATAATGACCACTCGGATTCAACGAGATTTTAGGTCAGGCTCGGCGACCTCGTTGAATCCGAGTTACACTGTATTGTTTTCAGAGATTTATCAAGAGAAAAAAAAACAAACCAGATAAATACACAGGAATGCTGCACCTCAAAACACAGTTTATTAGTAATAATAGCCTCTTACAATTGCAAATCTCACATGACCTTCTCCCCTTATCTCATATATCAGACAGCAGTGGCGGAGAATTGTCAGTATTTTTCTCAAAGCGTTGTCAATCTTCAGTGAGGAGAAGTCAGAAATGTCTCTTTCCACAACGAACTCAACACCTGTAAATAGAGGAAAATAGTGACTTTAAGTTTACACATTTTATAAACACTTTGAATGGTGTGTTCTGTATTAAAACGATTAAATTACTCGCAATTCAATTTTGATAAAATGAGAGCCTTCAACTGAAAAACAACCTCATTACTACAAGTATTACAAATGCATAGACTGATTAGCTTCAAGAGGTTCTGTGAGCAGTGAATTAATCTCAAACAGAAACCCCCCCCCCCCCCCCCCCCAAACATAGAAGACATTTTAAAAATTACAATTATGGGCTGGACTCCCTTTGCAACACTGCAAATATTTTTAAGAGGCTGGACCATTTAATTTAATATCCATCTTCCATAAGACCAAGCTACGTAGGTGCAGAGCCTTGAAAACTCCCAAAAATTAGTTCAAAAACAACCCACTGGAGATCTGAACCAGAGTTATCTACATCACAGCACAGCTGGGTATCACTCAGCTGACCTATTTGGTGCACCTTAAAGAAAATAAAACAGTTTGCTTAAACTGAGATCTTTCAGAAAGCTGGATTTCCTTTGGTGTAGTCAGGTTTTCTGTTTAGAAAGGTTGCTCAAACAGAAGGAAAAAAACCCACAGGTTTTTTTTTGGTTTTTTTTTTGGGGGGGGGGGTGTTACCGCTGTTTTCAGATTGAGCACGTTTCGTTTTTAAAAGTGGACTCCACTGTAGAGATTAATAAATTATGAAAAAAACAACAACTTCAGGAGCTTACATCAAGTTCTGCATTTTGTCATATTCTATACAGCAACAAATTAACAACATGCTTCAGCAACCTACATAAGGAACCAATCCAGCAAGGGTACCCTTGCAGGGCACTAATAATTTTTAAAAACTGAATGAGCACACATGATGTAACTTCACATACAACACACAGATACAGTTCAATCTGTCCATAACGATCATTTAAGATCACAGGGAAAAATGGCTGTTATAGACAGGTGGCTGCCATGGAGAGGGTCTATATTATGGCCACCTACTAGACTTGACAAAGTCAGCAGATGGTTTCAAATTTGAAATCTTCATTTCATTTCTCTGTTTCATTCACATAAAAATTGTCACCTCTATCATAAGGGCTTCTGATTCTTTGTATTGATTTCTGTTACGGATACATTAAACAAAATAGGAAAAACACAAAGATATGATAGAAAAGTAGTCGCTAGAACAGATGGCCACTACGGTGAGGTGACCACGGAGGCACAATTAACTGTAATTAAAAAATTGAAGCATAAAACAGCGGGACAGCTGTGTCTCCCCGTTTTGTTAACCGATAGTCAGAGAACTTCCTGTAATATACAAAAAGACTGTCTGAGTACAACAATCATACCAAAAGTCCAAATATGCTAGTACTTGTTAAAAAGGGGCCAACAACAGACCTCCGAAACATACCCTGAGTGTCCTTGGTTTCCTGCCGTCGGAAAGCCTCATATCTCTTCCGGTTGACATCATTCAGCGACAACTTCTTTTGTTTCAGGATCTTGTACTTTTCAACATACACGTGGTCCAGCTTCTCAATCACAGAATTTACTTTCTCATACGTCATGCGACCTTTCATGTACCTGATTCGAAAAAAACCCAACAACCAGATAACAAAAATAGAAGAAAAGTGACTCTTATTCATTTCATGTACAGATTACTAAGCATGAATACACATACGTGCTGATTCATTCACCACCTTATACCAATCAATTTACATATATGACCATGAAGTGGTGGGACACAAGTGAACAATCAGGAAATGCACACTTGAGTACATAAACAAGACTTGATGAAATATCCTTTAAAACCCTAACAGAATACGTACACCAAATTATTCAATAAAGCAGTTCATGCCTTCATATTGGAAGACAATTTTTTCGGGTGCAAACAGAAAGGCAACGTTACAGTTATCTTATAGTAACTTCTTGTTTTTCTTATTTCTGCTTTTTATCATGGGAAGCAACATGTGTCATTTCATTGGCTGAACATTTAGTACAATAGAAGACTGATGAAGTAAAAAGAGAAGAAAGTAGGTGAAGACAAACACAAAAAAAATACCAAGCACATACAAAGGGGTAAAAAACGTTCAGGTAAGTTATTCCACCATCAAAAGGGCCCACTCTCTAATTAATTTTGATATCTCCCTAGTTTCTTCATATTCTTACTTGGGCACAGCATCAAATTGTTCCACAGTGAGAAATTCCAGGTATGTGCATCTCTGAACAGAGGTTTGAGAGGTCATTATCTGATCTGGCTGTTGACTCAAAGGCGGAGCAGAAACATTGGGAGCTGTTGCACTCTTTGCTTTCCTAAACATTGGAGAAAGACACATTCAAGTGACACCAAACAGGGACAACCCTTTTCAGTTTCAATATCGACGGAGGCCTGGGCAAACCATATACAAGCCTTCAATTTTGCACCTTTAAACTGAAAAAGCCATAAGAAAGCTCTTTATTTCGTGGCATGCCAAAATTAAACTGTGAAAGAATAAAAATCTAAATATTTGACTGATGTTATAGATCATTTAAAATTTCGTGAAGTGCAAAGGAGAACAGTTTTTTACACAGTAAATATAATATCTATATGCCTCAGAAAATTACAAAGTAAAAAAGGGCATACTCTGTAGAATTGGAAAGAAAAGAAAAGAAGAATTCAAATTCCAACCATTATCATATCAGACATTGATTATAATTAAAATCTGCACATTTAACCGAGTTTTATCAGGTCACTACACAAATGACAAAAGAAGTCCTTGCAAAATTAACTAAATTAATTTAAAAGTATAAAACTTTCTATGCCTCATTACTTCACCAAACATCGCATGAACTCTCTCTCAGCTCAAGCGACATTCACTTTGATTTACTCCTGGGACATGAAGGCACATGGTGCTGTCAACCTTTTTTTTTTTCAGTGGAGGGTTTTACGGCGCTGTCAAGTTCTTTGTTAGGCATTTCATATTGAAGAATGAAAATACTGACATAGGCAAACATCACATAAAAAACTGAAGAAGTTTTCACAAAGACCAGAGTGAACAATGAACAGTTCTTACTTACTTTGCTGGAAGTTTAGTTGGGATGTTGTCCACTGCATACCGCACATGTTCTGATAGAGCGACCGTTTGATTTTTAATATCCTGAAATTTAAAGAAAGATAGGAGGAACCAAAGAACTGTTATTAAATAGATTAAATTCACATTCACGATATTATATATAGGACTTCATTTAAAAATAAATGAATGCTGAAACAACAAGCTGAGACTGAACAGAAATAGTTATACAATTTAAGGAGACTAGACTGGCAGTTTTGAAACAAGCTTACAAAAGTTAACCCAAGCCCCAGGGATACATCCCGCCACAAGCACAAGGATTCTTTAATCTCTTTCTTATGTTGGAGTTGAACTCATGATGTTTAAATGGGAAATGCTATCTGTTATTATTAAAGAGTAAAATCATGACATTTTTGAACTACAGAGAATGTTAAGTAATAGAAATAGAATAACAAGACAGCTTTACTTTATTTAACAAAGTTTACAAAGGAGAAATAGAGGCATTAATGTGCAATCCAACGGGTCTAAAATTAAATCTGTTGAGGTAGAGCACATAAGTTGTTCAAGGAATGAAAGGAATTTTACCCACAAAGTAAAGTCTGTAACAAAATAACAAAGGATGTCAACATGAAATTGTTACAGAAGCGCCGCTCGTTCTCAGAGTGGTGGCGACCCATGTGTTTGTTTTAACATGGCACTCAGTCTTCCTTCTGATATATTTCGTTTTATTGTCACCCTTGTGCAAAACCAGCGACAAAATAAAAATTACAAACGAAATACAAACCAACAACAGCAACACCAACAAAGACAACATAATGGGGCTACTTTCGAATGGGGCCTCAGATGGGAAAGGTTTGTTTACTTTATCTTGATCAGTCCTGCCTAAGATGGCCACCTGTCTTATACGGCCACTTTTCTCCTTGACAATGGGTGGCCGTCTTACACAGGTTTGACTGTATATCGATTTCAACTGGTTTTTGTACTGAACATTATAAAGCAGCTGAAGTCATACTGGGAGGGGATCTACGCAAAAGTATTTTATCTCTATTCAATTAGTAATTACATGCTAAGAACACTTAAACTACAGAAAAATGATCATATAAAATAAACATATTAAAAGGTGAACACATTTGATTTTTTTAAAAATTCCATTTTTTAGAAGAAATAATTGTTGTAAAAACTAAGAAGACTGTTAGACTCAATACCTGTAAAAAAAAAAGTGAGAATGTTTTAACCAAAGGGAAGACCAAAAACCAAAAACTCAATTGATTTGATAGAAATTACAGCCAAAACTGTCTAAAGTGATCACTCATTATTGAGGAGTCATAAAAGTGGCCGTCTTCGACAGGTGGCCGCCTCAGTGTTATTATAACGTAAAAAATATGCAAGGGAGGAAGTGGCGGTATGTATGGATGAATGTCTGAGACAGGTGGGGGTTAGAACAGGTTTGCCTGTACTTTAAAATAGCCCTAGAAGGCAAAAAACATTTCCCAAAGCCTAAAGGTCAAGAAACTCTCCTTTAGACCAACAAGCCACAATATGCTCCTCTTTGATGACATGCCTTTATATTACAGTCAAATCTCATACTGCCATCCTTGGGACGGGCATGAAGTTGGCAGAACAGTGGGGCTGGTGCTTCAATGGGGTTATAGCCCCGACTGAACAACGTCAAGGAACATATTTCTGCTGTGCGATCTGTGTTTGAAAAGTGTCTTTTTCTTGGTAAACAAGTGGGTGTTGTGCGCCATGTGCAATGTGTACCCCTGGCAGTCAGTTCACTGGTGGTATGGCGGGGTAAATTTGCAAAAATAGTTAAATAAGGACTATACAATATATATTTATATATAGTAGTATAGTTGAGGGTTTTACAGCGCTCGCAACAGCATAAGGTCATATGAGCGCCTAGGGGTGGGTGTCAACAGAGAAGTCTTTACAGGGAATCAGACTTAGACTGCTCACCTCTCTAGCTTCAACAGCACAAGGTCTGTTTCGACTATCAAGGCACCCCAAAATAGCAGGTCACAAGAGAGTGACAAACATACAAAATAAGTAGAGAAAAATGACAATAGTAAGGATCAGGAAAGAAAAAGCAACAGTTCCCTGTTGTAGATCAGGCACAGTTTAATATGAGCGTGACATGAGTCAGCCCATTTACAATTCTACTATGCTTGAACGAGAAATGTCCCCCTTTGGGAATGGCCTAAAGACACTACAGTCAGTGGCACTGCCCCGGGGGGTATATATATATATATAGGCGTTCCTTTTGGTACATTGGCAAAACCTGGCGGAAGCCAGGCTGGTGGTACATCGAGGTTTGACTGTACATTGCAGTAGGCCTATGGACAAGATAGAAAGGGCGTTTCAGTGAAAATGAACAAGATGACACTGTCCCTATACTATAGTTATACTCAATCCGTCTATGAATTATGATTGATGAGCAAATGAAATGTCATAAATAAGAGAATGAATGTAAAGTGGCCTTTCTTTCTTCTTTGCCTGGAGTAGGGTCTGAAGTAGTGCACTGATAGGCTGCAACATCATTTTTAATTTTTATTCATGTCCACATATACAATGATAATGATATACCTCTACATGTTCCATGTGCTTTTTCTGCTGTTCAACCTGTCTCCTCAGAGACTTCATCAGTGACTGTAGGCTGTCTAATGTGCTGTCCAAATTCTCAGACACCTCTTCATATTCCTCATCAAGAGTTGCATCCGAGAGCATCAAAGCATTTTTGAGAATAGACAGTTTGTGGCTGAAATGAGCCACAAACTTCTCAAGACTCCCAGACTCCATGGCAGTCATTGAAACACGGTCAGCAGGGTATACCTCTGAAAATGAGAAATTATAATAAATAATACCCCTCCCTGGAAATTAAAAAAGATAAATAAAGAGTAATTTCATGTCAAGACAGTTCTGCAGCCCACAATAAAATATTGTAAGTAAGTAAAGATTTATCATACTATATAAATTTTCTACACCTTGGCGAAAGGGTGAATTTTATTTTTACTTCCGTACACAGATGCACTGCTTTGGGGGTCAAACTGCAGTATTTTTTGCTTCTGATCATTGAATATAGCCACTAAAACTGTTGCAAATCAATTACTTTCAAGAAAATTGCACACCTAACCTAAACTGCAAATTATGGGTCAAAACAGGGGGGTAACCCCCCCCCCCCCGATTCTTTTTTGCTTTGTTCAGGGAGGCATGCCCCCCCCCCCCCCAATTGGTCCAAAGCTAGGAAATTACTACGTAATTTTATGTCTCAGTGCAATAAAGTTCCATTAAAATTAAAAACTATCGAAACTATTTTAAATTTGCAACGGAAATAAAGTCGATATTTGTGTTCAGCACAGAGGCCCCAGTAGAAAATTATAGTAGCCTAGTGAGACGGGAGGGAAAGTAAAAGAACACCGCACAGGCCTTAGGTTTTAAAATAAATTACATGATATAAAAAAGCAAACATAATAATAAGAGTGTTTTACGGTGCTCACAACAACATTAGATAGATCTATAAGACTAGATCTAGGATATTTTCAGTTGGTAAGAAATTTTGAATTTTGCCCAGACTCTATTAAATCGATTTTGGATCACCAAGTTCCAAGGGATCTTTAACGAACGCAACTTCAACGGGACCTCCGAGACTTTTCACCCTTGTCCGAGAAGTCGAGAAGGCAGAGGTGTAGATTTAGATCTTCTACCATAAGATCAGGGGAGTGGCTGAAAGTGAAAGACAGGGCAGGGCCTAAGAGACAGGAGAAACAGGAAGAAGGCTGCAGAAAGAGTCAGGAGCGCAGAGGAGGGGGCAGAAAGTGAAGACGTTTTAGCAGACGACAGAACATTGTTAGAGAGCAGGAAAGGATCATGTGAAAGGAGAACATAGAGTAGAATTCTGATCTAGAGCATTTTCCCCGTTGCTATCCGGATCCATTCTATTATTTAATAAATACTGTGAGCTGGCCTCCGGAGAGTGAGCGCAAGGTCGCCCCCACCTTTGCTTCAAAGATATGTGAGCAAGCGAGATGAAATCGCTCGATATGGACAATGGGAAGTGGGAGACACTAGCATGCGATTGCGACAAATGGAGTAGGCACTGCAAGCTGGTCTCATCAGAGGTGAAGCCCGACTGCGACAGACTGCTGAGGACAAACACCGTCGCCGAAAGAACAGCCAGAGGCTGCCAACTCAGGAAGACGCAACGCTTACAAGTGCAGCCACCGCAATAGGGACTGTCATTCTCGTGTGGGCCTGTTCAGCCACAGCAAGAGCTGCTCTCGAGAAATCTCCTACAGTGCAGATCTAAATCTAAATCTAGATCTAGATCTAGTCTCCTGAGACTTATTAACAAGAAGGATGCCATACGAATCCAGATTCGAACCCGGGACCTTGATTAGGACTAGGACAGGGCAAATTTTTATAAGGGCTCGTATTTATAATAGGTAGTGTCAATTGCCATTGAGTGAAGCGGTGTCAAGTCCGAAAACAACACTATCTTTAGCATTATAATAACGAAGTGACTATTTCTCCGAACGGTGCCGATCTTTATTTTTCCGAACGGTTTCCGGCTTCCGGTCTCGTGATTTTTTGCCTATTTATTGCGAGAGTTCGGCGCCAACTTTCATTCTGCCTCTGGCTCTGGTCTGGGAAGGAACACCACATGGCAAGCCCGCCTAACATACAACCTTCAGTAACACCCACCACGCACCCACCACCATCCTGCACATGTACACACACAAACTTATACACACACACTAACTAAACATGATCAGTGGGCAACTTTTGAACGTATGACGAGCTGAGTTGTGGATGGAGAGACAGTGTGAGTGACAGAGCGGGCGAAAGGAAGAATTTACGAGTGTATCCACAGGCGACAGCAACTACAAGACGACGACACCGACCCCCCTGGCCTGGTCCACAGCTCACGAACGAAAGGAATGTTGCTAAGGCAGTGTTTTACCTATATTATTGTCCATGGTTCGCAGGGAGCAAAGGAATGAGTGAGATTTTCTTTGTGTGTGCCTGGAGGGAGTGGGTGGGGTGTGAAAGTCATGAGAACGGGGATGAGCCGCGGGAGAGAACACGGGAATTGAATGAATGAGTGAAACTGAAAGAGAAGAACGACTCATGAGCACTGGAGTGAATGTATCCTGTTTGTTATTTTTGTATACTTTGAACTGTTACTGAATAAAGCCCGAAAAACACATACACACTCACTCCTCACTCTCCACTTACACACTTACTACCACACACAGACACACTCACATGCATAGATACACACACACACACACACACAGGAGCAAATTTTTGGGTCTATACCTATTTCAATTTTCAAGAGCTAGTCTAGAGATTTTTAGATGATGAGTGTAAAAACGTGAAAAAGAAAGATTTCACAACAGAATTAAATCAAAATTAGTCGAACAGCCTATAAACAACCACAAAAATTAACAGATAAGGGTGTTTGTCAACCTAGAAGAACCCATAAAAGTGCGTCAAATTATTTTTTTTTAAAGTACAGAATATTACATACATGTAAATTTTATGGAATCACACACATTCATTAAGGGGCCTGCCAGTGTCAGTACATTTAATCGGTTTTGGTGGAACGTACGCTCTAACATATAAAACATTACATGTATATATATATATATATATATATATATTTAGAATCTAAATCTAATGAAGGTAGACTAGGAACATCAAATTAAATGACGTTACACTATGCAACGTCCCCCCCCCCCTTTCCCCAACAAAAAAAAAATTGATGGAAAAACAACACATCAGAACAATAACAAGAAAAAAAGTTACACACTAACAAAATAAAACACCACAAAGAGTCAAAGAGGGAAAATTAAAAGTAACTGTACGTATTCAACAAATCAACGTGGTGACAACAAGTGAGAAAGAGACTAAGTGAAGTTAAGGGAACTTTCTTTCAAAAGTAAAGAGGTTCGGTTTCTTTCTTTTTTTCTCTCTTTTATTTGACTTTTATTCCCCGACCAAAAAAACCCAAAAAATCGAGCCACGATTGATTGGTCGCGGCAGCGACAAACGCTGAAGCTAGTTCTATGTGTCGTTATCAATAACCCTCCGTAGATCTAGATTCTAGATCTAGACAGCACACGAGTGAACACAACACATTAAGATGTGGCATGCCCCCCTGAATCCCCCACCTTGTTTTTATTAGGTCAGGGGGGCAAGCCCCCCTGAAACCCCCCTACTCTTGGGGCCAAAACCGGCGAATAACAAATGCGGGGTGGGAACTACCGAAAAAGCGCCACTAGATCTAGATCTAGATATCAGATGTCTACATCTAGAATCTAGATCTAGAGTCTAGATCTAGATATAGATCTAGATTATCTAGATCTACCTTTATAATAAGCCGCTTATAATTGAATGAGCGGCGAATAGCTTTACCTCCAGGCCACGAGAGCCCCCTTACCAGTGTTTGATCCAGATTATATGAATACAGCTACAAGAATCTAGATCTAGATTTATAATCTAAAAATAATCATTACACTAGATCTAGATTCTAGATCTAGATATAGATTTTAGATCTAGAATCTACCTGCGCCAGTAAAATCACTCTTTTTTTGGTCACACAGTGAGTTTTCTGTTTTGATTCAAGTTTTGAAAGCCACCGCGACAAGCTATTCCCAGATTTTACTGCATCGGCCTGATCCAGCCATAGTAGTGGGCAGTGGGCATTGGGAACCCCGTATAATCAAGAGTGCGAAGTGCGAAGCCTAGGCTAGGCATGGCTAAAAGTAAATTACACAGCCTCGCCCCCACATCTACTCCCCCCCTCTTTCCCCCGTCTCTCCCCCCTCTCTCTCCTTCTCGAGTAACTGCAACTGAAAGGTTGTAATATAACCACGTTTCATTTTTCTTATACTATTTTCATTATTGATTCTACATACTTTTGAAGAAAATGACAAGTTCGCTTGTCTTCATTGTGCACTTAATACGTGTAAGGCCTACTAACTAAAAATGACACTGTATTTCAGTCTGCACTATAGAGTTACCTATGGTCTGCACAGACCACAGAATTCTACACTTATAGAAGCGGAACTCCCTCTTCGCGATCGCCGATTCGCTGTGAGGAATTGAAGCTAAAACATGGCGGCCAGTTGAGGGCACCTTTGGCTGCGCCGCACAGCGAGGCTTCGCGTTGCTATGCACGCTGATGCTAGTGGTAGGGCTTGGAAGACACCTTACATTAAGTTACATCAGTATTTTAAAACTTTCTTCGAAGAGGAAATATAGTGAAATAGTCTAGTACATTTTTACTGCCAACAATATGTCATAATTGGCAATGTTACAATGTTTTTGTATCTGTATTGTTGGTTTGTTGTTGTTTTTTTAATGATGGGATGGGATGGGATGGGATCTAGATCTAGATCTAGATAGATCTAGATCTCTAGATCTACTACTAGATCTAGATCTACTAAAGATCTTCACAATCACAATACACTTGATAATAACACTAATTATGAACATTAACTCTGTTGGAAAAGTATCTAGATATAGTCTTGATTAGTACTAGATCTACGATTGGAGAATGTGTCGGTTGCACATAAAATACATAGGCCTATTGTACATGCTGCCAAAAACACAAAAATGCAGAAAAGGCCTCTAAATATTGTTTTACACATAAAAGCCAATAATGCAAAACAAAGTAAACAAGAGTGGAACTGGCATATGTTTCCTGAATATATGTTCAAAGTCATTTTCTGTGTGTTGGGAGTGTGATTTCTAATGCATGAATGAGAGGCTCATTCAGATGTGATAATGAAGAAACTTGTGTCTACAGTCACAACAGAAAGAGTTCCATGGCGAGTGATCACTGGTCAAGGATTTCAGAGCTGTGTGCATTTTGAGAAAAATGTATCCCCATACTCTGGATCACATGTCGAGGGGATGGGCTTGTCCCCCTGTAATCCCCGCACACAGTAAACAAACACATATTTTGGAACATGAACAAGAAAAAATAAGTGGTCTGTTGTTACGGATCAAATTGAAGTCCTGTTTCAATTCGATTAATTGATAAAAGTGCGTATCGCAATGCGTTGGACACCCCTGCCCTATAGGCCTATATGCTATTTAATAAATACATTCGTCAGACCTGGAATCTTTAATGCCCGCACACAGTAAACAAACACACATTTTTAAACACGTATAAGAAAAAATAAGTGTTGTCTTGTTACGGATCAAATCGAAGTCCTGTTACAATTCAATTAATTGATAAAAGCGCGTATCGCAAGGCATTGGCTAACCCAGCACTATTACGCTATTTTATAAATACATTCGTCAGATCTGGAATCTTTAATCTTTAATTTTTAATCCCCGCACACAGTAAACAAACACACATTCATGAACACGTATAAAAAATAAGTGGCCTCTTGTTACGGATCAAATTGAAGTCTTGTTACAATTCGATCAATTGATAAAAGTGCGTATCGCAATGCGTTGGCCACCCCTGCCCTATAGGCCTATATGCTATTTAATAAATACATTCGTCAGACCTGGAATCTTTAATGCCCGCACACAGTAAACAAACACACATTTTTAAACACGTATAAGAAAAAATAAGTGTTGTCTTGTTACGGATCAAATCGAAGTCCTGTTACAATTCAATTAATTGATAAAAGCGCGTATCGCAAGGCATTGGCTAACCCAGCACTATTACGCTATTTTATAAATACATTCGTCAGATCTGGAATCTTTAATCTTTAATTTTTAATCCCCGCACACAGTAAACAAACACACATTCATGAACACGTATAAAAAATAAGTGGCCTCTTGTTACGGATCAAATTGAAGTCTTGTTACAATTCGATCAATTGATAAAAGTGCGTATCGCAATGCGTTGGCCACCCCTGCCCTATAGGCCTATATGCTATTTAATAAATACATTCGTCAGACCTGGAATCTTTAATGCCCGCACACAGTAAACAAACACACATTTTTAAACACGTATAAGAAAAAATAAGTGTTGTCTTGTTACGGATTAAAGTAGGACTACATGTGCTTATAAAGGCTCAAAAAGGTGTATGGATGCGGAAATTAATGTTTCGGATGAAAATAATACGCTATCTTCACTACTGTAGCATGCGGTCAAAAATTTGATGCGCAACTTATTATCAAATATCTAGGCTACTGAACTATCAAACACCTAGATCTAGATTCTCCTACTTTTACACAATGACTTAGATCTATATCAATTCGTCTTAACCGATGAGTATTTTTTTCAAACATTTGTACACATCTATAGGTTCTATATTATTCTAGAAATTTCTTTAAAGAAAATTCTTTAATAAATACTAGCCCAATATATTTTAAAAAAATCCCAGTCAATGGTTTCTACAGATTTTTAAAAAGTTTATAGCTGGAGCTAAATCTCTTTTAAAAGCAAGTCCGTCCTTTTTTCTACTTCTGCTGGCGACATAAAGTTAATTATTGAACGCATGTTTTGAGAACATTAATAAGATCTAGTGAAAAAATATGTTCAGTGTAAAACAAATTTCTTGTAATAAGTTTTACTACTAAAAAACTACGTAGGCCATATGCGTATGCAAAATGTGCGTGGGAAGCTAGAAGTGCTATGAATTTTTTTCAGTTCTGTAGATCTTATATATATCTATATAAACTCTGTATGTCTGCTTTTTCTGTTGTTGCACTTCAAAACACAACAATTTAAAACCTTAATTCCAATCTCTAGTTGCACAGTGAATTCTGTAACTCAAAATTACAAACTGGACAGTAAATGTTCCACTTTTCACTCGTTTGTAAAAGCCGCTCTTGCTTTAAAAGCTATAGGGTTACTTCCGAAAACGATAAATAGTGCCCTCACGACGCCATTGTTTTCGGTCTTCAATTCCTCACAGGTCACGTGGTACAGTTCCCGTTCTATAAGTGTAGAATTCTGTGGCACAGACCTAAGATGTGGTCTGCACCAAAGGGGCTATAACAGGCCAAGTTGAAGCCAAATCTGAGGAACCTCCAAGGACCTCACAACAAATCTCCAATAGGCGACAGAACCCATCAAAACAAATCTTAAAATTTCAGGAAACTCAGGATGCTGTGAAGAACCACATCAATCTTTCTCATTTGCTGAAAAGACCGAAATCATTGGTATCCACTCCCGTTAGTTTTATCGAAAAATTACTTTTTGCTTGTTTGTAGAGAAATTCAAAATCTAATTATTATTATCTTTGAAGAGAGAAATTGCGAAAGCCCCTTTACGGCCCCTTCTAAATCTCGTGCAATCTCGAGGCGAAACGCACTTCCTTGGTTACTTCGCTTCCCTTACCGACTGTGACAACAGCGAAGGATGGTGTTCGTTGTTTGAGTTTTGTCTAGATAAAGGGACTTTTCTGCTTTATCATAGATTCCATTTTATTCTCCTTTTGTGCGTATAAAACATACACTTTTCAAGATGATGGCCTCAAAGTATTTACCCAGAACTCGCGAGTTCCGGGGAATACAACCAAGTTCTGTAGCAATTGTAAGTATAGATCTATAGTCTATAGATCTAGTAAGGCTCCTACTCCTACACATTGCTGTTGTTGTGATTTGATTGTACATAGATGCAACCTACTACGATACTGTTTTTAAACTAAAATTAATGGAAGCCTAATAAATTATCGATTAAAGTACAACCGCTGTTTAATCAAGTTCTTAAATTCTTAAATGTGTTGGTTTTTATGCCTCCATAAAGTTGGCATAAGGCTGGAACAAACAGTGGTTGCATTTTAATATGTTATATTTATATACTGCATTATGCTGATAATTAGATAGGCCTAGTTAGAATCTAGATCTAGATCCAGATCCAGGCCAGATTGGAAAGTTAAGTTCTTTTGCAAACAGTAGTTTTTTACTGTCTTGGCATTGGCTACTAGATTCTAGATCTAGATCTAGATCTAGATCTAGATCTAGATTTAGTCTTGTCGAGTCTGTTAATTTATATGAGATAATTTAAGCTTGTCATTTTCTTTGCTTTAGGTCTAACCCTGAAAAATCAAGAAAAAAGTACTATGATGGTACTGATGTCACTTTGACGTGAAAAAAAAATTTATCAGAACCGCAAATAAGAATCACCATATTTTTAATGGCCACCTCTATTATCACCCGGGGTGAGAATAGCGCAGGCGAATCTTTTGGCTATTCTCACCTGGTGTGCGTTAACCGTTATAGCCTTGATCTAGGCCAACCAATTTTGCGTTTACCCTGAACCGCAGAATTCTACACTGTGATAACAGAAAATTTTTAGAATTCTGCGCCGTGAACAAACGTTCCATTACTACTGTTGTTAGCCTAAAAGCGTACAATTTTGTCAGTGGGCAGTGGAGAGAGAGAGAGCGAAAAAGAGAGAGAGAGAGAGGAGTAGCGCGAGAACTTCCGGGCAAAACAAAATGGCGACCCGCGTAGTTTGGCTCGATTTGAAAGGTTAAATAGCCGTAGCATCTTAGTAGACAACCAAATTAATTTACTTTTGTGTTTAAACGTCATTTTCTAACTTTATTTTGGTCAATTTGATCGTCCCCACCGATAGACAGTATTCAGAAAGAGACAGAGAGAGAGAGAAGAAGGGAGGAGTAGATCTTTCAAGAACTTCCGGGCAAAACAAAATGGCGACCCGCGTAGTTCGGCTCGATTCGAAAAGTGAAATAGCCACAGCATCTTTGAAGACGATCAAATTGGCTTATTTTTATGCTATAACGTAATTTTTACTTTGCTTTTATCCATTTGATCATCCACACCGATAGAAAGTATTCCGAAATTGGGAAAAACAGGTCTTGTTTCACACCGGGTGAGAATAGCCAACGGTGGCAAGTCCCACCCTGGGTGAGAGGTCGATCGTATTTCTATTCTCACCCCGGGTGAGAATAGTCACTTCCATTTTTAATATAATTTATTTTGGGATCAAGGTCTTTGTTTTTCATAATAAAAATATACTTTTGGGATTACTTACGTTCAGAGTACCAGGACATCATGTATAAAAATGTAATTACTGTAAAACAGTGGGAAAAATAGATCAGTTAATTATCAGTGAAATCTGTAGAATCTTCGGTACAACTTAAGAATCTGGGTCCCGTCTGTATTTAGACTTGGCATCATCCACACACAGTACTGTCGATATCTTGTATACTGATTTATATATTCGATATCAATGTTTTATCAGTAGAGCCTACAAAATGAGCAGTAAAATTTCACTTGTTTTTAACAATACAAGGGGGGTTTCAGAGGGGGCATGCCCCCCTGAATTTGACCATCATTTGATATTTAGCTATTAGGTTTGATAGGCTCTCTCTCCATAGGCCTATCGGCACACGCATAAAAAAATAATTGTTTAGAACCAGAAGTAATCGTCGGTGGGGTAAAAACTAGTCCAAACGGGATCCAGATTCTTAAGTAGTACCGAATCTTTTAAACTTAAAAGACAACAGTTATTGTTTTGCAAGGGTTCAGAAAAATATATGATAAGCCTGTGCTATGATAAATTGAAAAAAACACAATATAAACAATGTAAATCATCATTAAGTCACTTCAAAGTTATTTTAAATCTTTGATCAATGTTTTTCAGAACGTCCACTCAGAAATTTGTCTTTAAATAGACAATAACAATTGTTGAGCCAATTTAAAAAAATCAGTATAATTACCCAACGAACAGAAATATGCTGGTTTCTTTGATTTCATTATTTTGATGAGTGCTTTTTTTTCTTCACCATGGCACACATTTGTATGTATGTATGTGTGTATGTGTGTGTGTGTGTGTGTGTGTGTGTGTGTGTGTGTGTGTGTGTGTATGTGTGTATGTATGTAGCGTAGGTGCTAAAAAAATCAGAATTAATTAAATTACTAACAAACAGCGTCATCATTTCATAGAACATCATTATCATTATTTAATCACTTTCAGCAACCATCATCATCTTCACTATCTTTGTCACTATTACCATTGCCATCACCATTACCACCACCACCACCATCATCATCATCATCATCATGTTGATAATTCTAGGAAAATACATGTGTTGCATCGTGGTGAAACTACGCCCTCTTCAAAATATAGCGATATCAAATAAATCGCATTTTTTCTGTCCGTTGGGCAATTTTTATACAAATCTTGTTCTGTGCTCAATCATTTTATAAACATTTTAAAATACATCCGTGTTTTGATTTGATTTTGAAAATGTTGATCAAAGGGACAAACATGTGAATTTGCAGTTTTCAAGGACCCTACGGCTTTGGAAGTTAAATAACTTTAGGGCCTTTTTCTCTAAAATGTTAGCTCTGACATCAAACAATCACCACCTTCTTTATTTGCAAATACCTCGACTTCTATTCAAGATTGATGGGTATTTTTTTAAATATCAAAAGCAAGGCAAATAAACAGGCAATGTAAGATTATACCAATATCTCCATATGCCAAAATTGATGAGCACTGATTTCTCAGCATCGTGACACATATTATCATTGATATACATGGGCTGCAATCAGAAATAACATTGCTCATTTCATGACATGTTTCCAGTTGTTAATGGTACCTTTTTTCTGAGAGCTGTATTTTGCCTAAACTGTCAAGTGATTTTTCACTATAACAATGTCTATTAACCTTATCCAGCATTAAGTGCTCTCAGTATAATAAATGAATATGTGGCACCCAAAAGAATCAGGACATTGAAAAAGAAAAAGGTAGGCTTACAAAATAATAAAATCCCTACTATTGTGAAAGATAAACAGTTATAATTCTTTTGCTTTAAATTCTTGTTATTGTTTGAACATATTAAGATATCGATAATACAACTTGTAATTCTTTTAACAGATCGCAAAGAACCCATCCAAGAAACCCGGAGACTGGCTTACTTTGAAAAATAGGGCCTACGATGATCGCACCAAGGAGCTTGAGACACAAGTCAAGGAACAGAAGAAGCAAGATCTTCGCACTGACTTTGAAACAAACACAGAACGGCACATTCTGGCAAATAACATAAAGAGCAAAGTGAAAACTATGTCCCAGGCTGTAGAGTACAACCTGGAATGCAGGAGGCAAAAGTAGGTCTCTTTTCTATGATTATTGATAACACAAAAGTCTTTGCTAACTAATATGTGACTGGTTTCTATTTCTTCTATGGCTTATAATTTAATAGTACGTATTCATTGTGCAATTGTGTTTGGTTGTCAGTCCTGTCAATATAAAGAAAAGCAATGGAAATGTAATCGAAAAAGTGTCCTTGGTGATGCATACACTTTTTGAGCAATGCTTTTCATTAATTTATGGAGGATTTAGTCCATAAGAAAGATGGGAACTGGAGGTAACTGTAAATCACAAAAGATTAAAAAATGATTTTGCATTGTCCTTTAAGGATATTTTTTGTGCGTAGCATTAATTTAAGTCTTGATGAAATGAATGAATTTGGCATGGATTTCACGTATAGTGAACTACTTAGTGGCTATGCATAGAACAATTCAAAAAGAAACTTTGGACTCAATTGTGGACAAAATTTAAACTTGTGAAAATACCCTTTGCTATTCATAAGGACTATCCTTCATTTGATGGATGTTTCAACATTCTTTCCAATTATTGAGTAAGTTACTATCTTTCCTTACATGCTCCTCAGGCTCTAATTTAGAACTATACTTTCATCTTACTGACCGTTATCGAATAAGGGGGGGAAAAAAGAGGAATTGCAGATGTGTTTGATTGCTGTTTGTAGTTTCCCTATGATTCTTTGCAAGAATGCTTGTAGCAAACCTTGGTGGCAGTGAATAAATGTGAGGCAACGTGGTGGAATCATAGATGTACACTATAGTACTAGATACCGTACGCCCCTCTCTCGCCTTGCTTGCGCGATGGCCACATTTGACAGCGGCGTCCGCCATGTTTTTTGTGGCAAGTTGTGTGAAGGAGTTCATGCTAAAGCAATGGGCTAGGCATGTTTTCTCTCTCTCTCATACGCGATAGGCGAGGCTTGGTTCTTGTTGTTTTTTGTTTTTTTACATGGGCGCCGTGGCGTACTATATCTAAATTATTAAATTGCAATAATACGGCGTTCTTTTTACAACTAGATCTACAAATAAATGTATTATTAAATAGATAGAGATAGTGATATGGGCTTTAAAAAAAAGAAGAAAAAAACCCCAACCTTTATTTGTTCATCAGCACTTTACCTACGAGGTAGTTTATTTCTTATTGACTGAATCAAAGCGTATAGGGCCTTTAGAACTTTTTAAAAGAAGTATAAAAAGATGTGGGTGTCATGGGAACCTCCTATAACCACCCCACCCTCTCTCTCCTCCCGAATCCCAATACCAACCCCCCCCCCCCCCCCCAGCCCCCCTCAGATATATGAGTTTGCCATTAAATTAAATGAGGATGAGCCATAGGAAAAAAAAATTCCAGAGTTTTTCAGCCTTTAGTTGTAGGAATGCAATGAAGCTCTTGATAAAGCAAATTCAGCCAAACAAATGATGAATACATGTACTGGTATTTTTAAAATCGAGTTTAACTTTCCCTTGTGACATTTGAACAGGATACTGTATTTTTCATTCATATGTTCACTTTAAAAAAAAGTATACTAAATTATAAGTAGTGTTTTCATATGTCGGTATTAAACTTTGGTTTATATTGATTTTAAGAACTAAAGAAGACCATATACAGCACTTAAACTAAAGCTCCTCCTATTGCTGTTTTAAGTAAGTCTAATTTTGGACATTAGTAAAGCAACTGTGACAACTCTGGACTCACTAAAGATTTAAAAAAAGTGAACTTAAACGTTGTTTTGTAGCCTAGTCAATTGTTTTTCTACTCAGTGTAGTGATAACTGAAACAAAAACCTTTACTAAAGTGTTTTTGGACAACATTCAATAAAACAAAACAATAAAAAGTACACTGTTTCAGTTTGATTAAGAAATTTCCTGCCCATTGTGAAAAAGATCTAGCTGCTAGTCAACCTTAACTTCACATGGCCCAGAACCTTACTGATGGCTCTTTATGTTTTAAAAAAGAAACCCGGAGTGACTATTTGTGTCTATAAGACATATTATGCACTAAAAATAGATGATGCAGTAAAAGAAAACAGACATCACTGAACTGCCTGACAGAGGTGAGGTTTCACATGCTTGCACCTTTAAGAGAATCGCTTTGAATCAAAACATAACGTTAGAATCAAATAAAACACGTAAGACTAAGAGCAGAGACACGCCCACTCAAATGTAAACAAACTTTTTAGCCACACTAAAAATGGCCGCCAACAAACTCAAATGTGTCCGTGTCTCGTAACCTCGTACGGACTCTAGTTTAAAAGGAGGTAACTCTATGGGTGGAATCAGGCTCTCGTCAATTTTTGGGTATGTAGAGTTATTGGTATTATCTTAAACTTCTTCACTGGTCTTTATTTGGATGATAAAAATGTCAATTTATCTTGAATACAAGTCGAGATATTTGCGAAAGAAGGAGGTCGGGGATCACCTGTTTTCAGAGGTAAAATTAGTGAGAAAATGGCCGCCAAAGATTAGTTATTTCCTTAGTTTAAGAGTAGATGGTAACTAAACTTTACAATTTTTGGGCTTTTAATTAACGTTTTTCAGAAAAATCCACACAGAAATGAGTTCTTTAATGGGCATGAAAGGTGTTGGGCCAGAAAATATAGATTTGATAAAAATTCACAAACCTGCATAAAAATGCGCATTTCTTCCCTTTGATTATTTTGACGAGACCTGATTCCACCACGCTGCCTCACAAATGATCTTTTCTTCACTTAAATGCACTATTCTGACACTTCTTGTCATACCCTTGTATTTTTCAGACTTAGGGAGCTGTTGGCCAGAGAAGAAGCTTGTTTGATCAGAGAAATGGAAGAAAAAGAGGAGACTGTAATTGAAAGGCAAGCAAAAATGAGGGAAAGAGCAAAGTTTTTGAAGGATAAGAGAGAGTCAGAAAGACTTGCTGTGGTGCAGGAGAAATATGATCAACAGTTCAGGTGAGTCAGCTACAAAGTCTTCAGCTAAAAATATTTGTTACAGAGAAAATAACAAAATCAGTCATAACAAAAATTGTTCCCTCAGCTCATGTTCTTTTTCCAGTAAGCATATATCATAGACTGAAGAAGCAAAATAACTGCTGCTTTTTGTATAAACACAAACTAGAGCTTTTCTTTGTTTATTGAAACATATGTATTACATTAAATCCAATGGATACTAAAACAAATTTGCGATTAGATAAACATCCCATGCTTTTCAGTATCATGATACGGATAAACACACATTTTTGAGTCATGCGGTTGACATGTCTTGCTCAGATTTGCACTCCAGTGACTACCCACCTGAATGCTGACTAGATTGTCTCTAATAATTAAGAAATGTACTTTTTATATTTATTTTTTGAGAAGTAGCTGAGACATATTTTTATAAAATTCTTGGTATTTTCAGGGATCAGTGTGAAGAACTTAGATCAACACTGTCAAAACGCCATCAAGATCAGGTCTGCCTTGAGAGACTGGAACAACTAAGGCAGAAAGAGCAAATTGAACATGAAAAACGTGCACACGAGCAAATGTATGCCAAACTTTGGGAGCAAGATATGTTGGAGAAGGCCGCCCGAGAGGAAAGAGAAGCTAAGGACCTTCATGAGAGGAACCGTGGAGTTCTGGAAGTCCTGCGCAAACAGATGGCTGCTCTACAGGCCCAGAAGGAGGAGGCAAAGAAGCTCAAGGAAGAAGAAGCTCAACTGCTGGTATGGTGGAAGGGTGTACCACATTGTCTTTTGTTTTTAGCTTTGAGAATGATCAGTTTTAAATGTTAATTTTATGGAAAGCTGCAACTGTTTGAGCAAAATGCAGCTAGAATGCTTCTCCAAGCAATGAAGCCATTGCTGGTTCTTTTTGATAATTTGTAGTAGCAAAATGCTGACCAAAGGTTGCACATTAATTCAAATATTTCTCCACTTAAATCCTTTTTGACAAATAGCAAAACTCTTTTCCAGAAAATAGTGGATAATCGTGAATGTGCTTATGAGGTGCATAAAATGGAAAGTGGAGAGGTTGCTTTTCTTTTGAACCTTTTGTATGTTATCACTAGTTCATAATAGCGATCTTTCTGACAATAATAGCCAACGTAAAGAAAGAACGCCCTAAATAGGTTTGGCTCTTCTTTATTCATCAGCACAGATTTTTCTCATGTCTTTTACTCTCTGAGATTGATATTGTTCTTTGAATGTACAGGTTTGAATGAATCAATTGTTCAAAGAATTCCGTTTTGCACATGAATCAACTGACTTTCTTGATAGTGAGAGTGAAGTGGTGTGGATAAAGAATGTTGTAAAGTTGGTTTAACAGAAACTTTCTGGAATTTTTTAATAGAAAGAACAGCGGGCTTTGTGGAAACTGGAGGATGAGAAGGCTCGCCAGGAGAAAGCACGCAAGCAACAAGAGACTCGTGACATGCTGGACAGATCACTGGCTTCCAAGGCAAGAAAGAAGGCCAAGGAGGAACAAGAGCAGTTAGCCTTTGACCTCAAGATGCTAGAGCAGCTCTTGGAGGAGTCTCGCAATGAAGCCATGGAGACCATGCAGCGAAAGGTGAGTGAGCTATTGAAAAAATATTAAAGGTGCAAAATCAGTAGTTCAAGGTGTTTATTTAAGACAAGTTTATTCATTTCAAAAGATACAGTTTTTCCAAGTATGGGAATTTTCTCAGATTAAAAAAAATACAAGTATAGTAGTTCATAATAGTTTTTACACAAGAATTGTCGCAAGTGTTTGAATACTAGTAATTTATACTAACAGTAAAAGTGAATATCAGAAAAGTAAAAAGAAAACTATACTTTTCCCTCTTGACAGCTACCAAGGTATGAATGAATCCATTTTGTTCATTTGAAAAACATTACAGTGAAGTTAATTATTTTTTTTAGAGATAATGAAAGTCTAATGAAGGTTGAACATTTGATTTTTGCCATTTAGACATTTGACTGAGAGGAAAAAATGTGCATACAAATTTGGTCCTCTTTCAAATTTGAGCATGAGACGGCACAGCAGCAAATGATCAGATTCAGTTAAACCTGACAACAGTGGGCAAAGGGATGCAAGGTATAAGGATAAAGATGAAAAGGAAAATTCCTTTTTTATTTATCTGTGTGGGGAAATTTGGTTTACAATGGCATACATAACATACCTACATAGAACTTTATAATATGTTCAATAATTAATCAGCATTACAGAATTCACAATGTCATTCCAATACAGAAAATCAACAGGATATTGTTGGTCACCACTGTGCTGCACCTTGTTTTTGAGCTAGGGTTATCGTATCTTGCCCAAGGACAGACTGTATTGACAACCCACCTAAATGCTGTGTCGCTGACATATGCTTGGCGTTATGTGCAGTGGTGGTGTGTGGCCAAAATTTGTGTGGAGATTAGGTTGCTTCCACTTCTTTACCAACAAATAACAAGGCAATAAGAGCTAAAGAGTGATTGTTTTTCTGTACCCACAGTGAGCCACAGGATTTTGAGAACCTTTCAAATGAGAAGGTTACCTTTGTCTTCCATCTCTTTGTTCTCTGTCTAAATCTTCTGAATAGTGGGGAGGAAGCCGTTTCCCCTCCAAATTTCCTCTACTTAATTTTTACATGATGAAAAACTTGCTTTAAAAGTGGTTCGACATGATTTATAACTGTTAAATCTCAGCGGTACAATTACAAACATATACTCACAGCATTTCAAATATATTCCGACTATTGGTGGTTAGGCCGTGTAGTCGAGGAAAATAGAAATCGCTTAAACAAAGGTCCAATGCGCGCACAGGTAACTGTGTCAGTTGGGGAAAGTGCGTCGTAAACTTTCACCCCATTGTCATGACTAGAAGAGTGTGAGCCCTCAGTACAATGTCTTTTTTCAAATCTTCTACTTTTTTACAAGAAGAGTTTCGTTAAAGAAGGGCAGTGGAAATGGGCTCATACTTTGCTGAGCCTTACAGATATTTGATTGGCTGTTAGGTTACTTTAGTTGTAAGCGAAGACGACAGTGATTGGATAAATGAGCAAACCACCAAGCTGATCACTTTGTGTTCATTGCGTGCAATTATAACTGGGTCATCTGATTATTTTGTTATTTAAGAAACATTTATTTACTGTGGGATAGAGTTGGGGGGTTGGGAGGGGGCTTCAAGCCTGTGAGCCCTTCACTATCCACCGCCACTGATTATGTGAGTCTTGATCACATTTTGACTACTCACTGTAAGACTGTCATATGTCACTTTTCAAAATGGCATACAATAATAATAATAATAATAATAATGATAATTATAATATTATTAATAATAAAAAAATAAAAAATAATAATAATTATGATAATAATAAATAGCATTTGTATAGTGCATATTCCCTGCTCGACAGCAAACTCTATGCCCTTTACACACTATATTATTACCCTAGTAGACCATAGAACACCCAGAAACATTCTCAGCTTTCCGGGAAGCATACAGTGCAAGCAGCTAATTAAGCACTCAAACACTAACAAACTGACAAGATCTTTCGCTTTCTATAGCTGGGTACCCATTCCTACCTGGGTGAAGTGAGGAAAATTCATGTAAAGTGCCTTTCCCAATGACACATAGTCGAGCCCCTGACGGGATTCGAACCCAAGACCTTTAGGTTATGAGTCTGAGAGCTTAACCACTAAGCCACCAACACAACACATATGGTGGAGTCTTACACTTAACAGTATCTGAATTGGGTTTTTTTTCAAACCAATTTCTTCAAACATTTTTTTTTTGTATTTAAGAGAGAGCTCCGAGAGGAGGATCGGCGCTACAGAGAATATCTGCACCAGCTCATGGAAGAAGAGAAGGCTCGTGAGCGAGAGCTGGAGAAGCTTATCCAACAGGAAGTGGAGGCTGCATGGGAGAAGCGCATTGAGCAGTGGCGTCGTGAAAGGAAGGCTCGCAAGCTGCTGTTGGATGATGTCATGGCTGGACGAGCAAAACAGCTCCAGGAAAGATGTAAGTCATATATTGTGGTATTGATTTGTCTGGTGTATTCAGTGTTTAGAAAAAAATAAACAAATGTATTTTACTTCTCCCAGTTCTTTAGGTATCTTTAAGCCCAATGTTCTGTGCTTTTTTTTGGTATAAGCAATTTCATCCCCACCCCAACAGCTTTCTTTGTGAGTTACCAGACTGTAGTCATGGGAAAACTGGTAAGATTGTTGTTGTTGTTGTTGTGGTTATGCTGTGCCACTGAGTGGTCTACTTTTTTCAGCCAGAGCAAATGGATACTTATATGATAAGACAAAAATGGATAAACAGTATTGTGAGGGTTTTATTTGTTTGTTTGTTTGGTTGTTTTTTTTTCAAGAGGACTTTACCATCCACTAGATATAATTTAGGCTAAATTAAATTAAAGCTTCATCAGTTTCTGTAGTAGTGTCAGTTTTCTCAACATGTGTCAGCTTTTCAAAATATGAAATTTACAAGCATAAAACAGAGCACTTCTGTGTGTCAGAAATGAATCTGGAGGACACTGAGTCATGCTTTTATTAAAGCAAAAAAGCCAAACAAATATGGTGGCTTTTAAGCACAAGGGGGCTATCCCGAAAAATGCTGTTTTGAGAAAATCGAAGGTAAAGTTTTTGCCCCTTGTTAAGTTTCCTTAAAAGACAAGGAGAATTTTCTCTATATCCAAAGAAATATACACACTAATGAAACCAAACTTCTCATATGGGTAGGCTGATGCCCACTTTTGATGTAGTCAAAATTTATGGAAACCCCCGAAATCTGGGTTAGCCCGCTTGTCTTTAAAAGTTTGAATTTGTAGTGCATCAAATTTAACAGAGCAATACTGTAGAGTGTCTTTCAAACACGCATGCTCTCTCACACTAAAGCACTTACAAACACCCATGCACACACACACACACACTCACACACACATACACACACATAAATACACACACTCACACACACATGCATGGGCATACACATACAGACATATATACTTGCTCTAACGGCTACCTGTATGAGACAATCACCTGTACAAATGGCTACCTCCTTTATTTCACCCTTTGTGTTTTATTTTCTTTGTACATTATAATGACATTATGTAAGATGGCCACCTGTCTAAAATAGCCACTTATTTCTTTTTCAATGGGTTGCCGTCTTTGATAATTTTGACCTTATTATGTGCTTGCCCAAAATTATGTGTACATTTTGTAGATAATAATGATTATTTTCTGCCCTGGAATAAAATTTGAATTCTTCTTTCCAGTGATGGAGAATGAGCGTAAACAGTTGGAAGCTGCTCGTGAGCGGGAAGAACTCCAGCGTCGTATTGAGGAAAACCAGCGTCTGGATGCTGAAGAAGCAGCAAGACACATGCACGGGCGCCTTCGATACCAGCAAGATCTGGTGGACCAGATGGCTTACAACACACGTCTACGTGAGGATGAGCGTGTACGAGAGAATGACGAGTTCCTCAAGGCTCAACAAGCTGAACGTGAGTTCCAGACTCGCATGAAGCAAGTCTTGGATAACCCCACCATCGACAAATTGCATCCGATGAGGAGAGCTATGATAGGAAATGCTCAAAAAAGTTGTTGAAAACTGTTTTGGGGGGATTATGTTAACCTCTTTAATATAATTGTGGGCTGGTTGAAATTCAATATGGGTTGTTTGAGGTAAAAATACATTTCGGTTCATAGATGTGTGTTAGTTTAAAATTCACAGCGCATTGAACTAATGGTTCTACTAGTTCTGAGGTAATAAGTGTATATTGCTCCAAACAGCAGAGAATTTTGACTTGCTTGTGGAAAAGGTAATATTATTTTTAAAATTTTATTCTTATTTGTGATAATTTAAAAACTTGTTACTCAATGCATGGTATTTCTGTGCGTCAAAAGATTCTGTCAAAAGTGCAGAGGTTTTCAGTCTTTTCTTGATTTGAGACCTAAAAGGTGATTTTTATTAACGCAGAAACTTTGTTCTTCTGAAATTTGATTTGGCATAGTTTTAGATGTCAGTAAAAGATTAAGCTATTTTAAAGTGACATTGTAAATATTCTCTTATATTTTCTAATAACATGAATGATGCCTTAAAAAGGTTATAGGATTTTGTTTTTATTAGATCCTTTTATAGGGGTCATTACACAGTGTTTTCAATTCAGGCTCTGGTCAATTTTTGGGCAAAAAATATCATTTTAAAGCTTGTTTATTTTTGTTGCCTTTGATGAAAAAATATCCATCTATCTTGAATAGAAGGCAAGGTATTTGCAGTTGAATTAGGTAGGAGTTGTCTGTGTTAGAGTTAAAATCAGCGACAAAATAGCTGCTTAAGTTTTCAGTTTCGCCATTTTGACGAGAGCCTGAATTTCATGACAATGGCCCTCATATGTGGTACTAGATATTTAATTGTTCTTGTATGGTATTGCTTATCAGTGGAATATGGTAGTCATTGACCACTAAATGGAAATATATGTTGTTCCTGTTGTGAGGGATACATATTAGTTTGACTGGGAATTTGATTTTGCATCTCATCACTCTCTTGAATAATTAGGCTATTTATTATGTTACATGTATTAATGAAGGGCTGTTGATTGTGTACCTTTGTGTATACCAATATGGTCTGATGAGGGATGTCCAGACTTTTATATGTAATATTAGTATACAAGCGTATGCTTTGGGTTCAAATTCAACCAACTGCACATTTTTCTTTTCTTTTTTTATATGCAAGGCTGTTGGCTTGCATTCTTTGTGGATTTCCACTTCTGATAATACCTCACAGTATCAAAGTGTTCGCCAGACGTGTAAAATATACATTTTTGGCCAAACGTGGGTTTCAGTTGAAATACTTTGTTTGAGTTCCTCACAATCAATGGATATCAGGCAATAAGCGTCTATGCCTACCGGAATCAAGGAAAGACTGTTGTCAATTTCTTTTCTGTTTTTGTCCTTTTTAATGCACTCACTTTTCCATGTAAGCACCAGCAATTTAGGGGGCCTTAATAAGGAAAATATGTTTTTAAAACAATTTTTGCCTTTCATTGTGCATGTTCACCTTCTGACATAAATTTTTCTATAGGTTACATTTGTAACATCCAGTCGTTCACTTTTCTCAGGAAAGTGCTCATACCTTGATTTTCTATTTTCAAGGACATTGCATGATTATAAATGCCTGTCAAGACACTTGATTGTAATAGTTGTTCAGGCTTGGAGCTGGGAGATAAGTGAATTAACTTACATATTATTTAATTCACTATCTCCGGCAAGCTGCTCCCAGCGGCTGGCGGTCGGAACCCCTGTGCCGGTGAGCCACTGACAGCGGCTTGGGCACATTCCTTTACGACGACTTCGACATCAAATTACTTTTCCGCAATTAAAGTGTGTTATCACATTGGCAAATGTATGTGAATGTTTTTTAACACTCAGCACAATGGTTGTTACACGAAATGTATTTTTAAATCTTATATCTCTTTCTTTTTTCTATTATCTTTCTATAAAGAATGATAAAATGAGGACCACTCAATGTAGAGATGGATCTTAACTGTAGGTGTGAAAATATATTTTGCAACTATGTTAAAAGTTTTTCATTGAGGTAAAACACAGACCCTTGCATGTTAATGTGGATGTATCATTGTGTACAGGCATATATGAATGTCTTTGTAATGTGTTTGTGTGTGCTCATGTACTCGCTCTTCCAAAGTTGGTACAGTGTATAATGAATGATAAATAAAGAAATGATCATGGAAGAGGGAGTATGCATATAAGTGTGTGTGTGTGTGTGTGTGTGTGTGTGTGTGTGTGTGTGTGTGTGTGTGTGTGTGTGTGTGTGTGTGTTTGTGTGTGTGTGAGAGAGAGAGAGAGAGAGAGAGAGAGAGAGAGAGAGAGAGAGAGAGAGAGAGAGAGAGAGAGAGAGAGAGAGAGAGAGAGAGTGTAAAACTATTTGGAAGTGTGAGAAGGACATGGTATATCAGAACAACAACAGGCCTTTGTCAAAGAAAAAGATACAAGCTGTATGGCAACTAAGTGATTAGCGTCTAAATCTATGACCTCTTTGACAATTATTATACCTGCTCAATCTCAGCGATCATTGTAAATCCCTAACAGTACATAAAGATTAAGCATCATTTGTGCACCAGCATAACTCACTGGCTTGCAAACCAGATCAAGAATCGTCAATAAGTGTAGTGTGAATTTTGCCAAGAGATGTGTTTAATAAACGTAACTTCTGTCTCTTTTTTTGAAGATGCACTTTTTTTTCTCTATCCCTTATTTGCAAACATGGTGTCTTTTGGTTTATACCTTGGCGTAAAGCGTGTCACATTTGTAACAGTGAAGAACATAACAAAAATAAAATGCATTCTCTCAACTGTTAATCTGTTGACTTTTCAATGTTCCATCCTTGAGCTCTTCCCAGTTGTAAAGTCAATGATATATTTAGTAACGTGATCCATGTTTGTGGGTGATTGGCAGGTGTTCTGGTGTGATTTCCTCCTTCTCGCTTATCAAACATCTATCGTCTCCTTATCTCTCCTTTTTTGTGTTCGTTTCTCTCTTGTAACACCTCTAATCTTCAGGTGGCGTCAGTGGCCAAGTGGTTAGGCTACTGGACCCGTTATCGTGAGATAGTGGATTCATGGATTCGAGCCTCAGCCCGGTCCAATGGTGTGTCCTTGGGATAGGCACTTTACGTGAATTTCCTAATTAAATTTTGGCTCAGTCCTTTCGAAAATGGACGTTAAACTCGGAGGTCACGCCTCTTAAATAACCTAATAGTGTTGATAGGTGCGTGAAACCTATACCATTTCATTTTTTAATCTTCGGCACTTATATAACCCCCTTGTATTGAAATTGCGGTTAAACTCTTACCAAACAAAAACAAACAAGGTCAAAGCTTTGTTTTGTTTTAGGATTATAATGTCCGTGGGACAATGAACTCTTCAGCATCGTTTTTAGATTACGCCTGAGGCAGTATCGTCTCTTTTGCGTCTTCTAATTAGGACGGTTTTACATAAACCGATGCTGAACTAACTGGCCTCTATTCCGCGTGCGCCTATTGCGTCGGTTGTATGTCGCCAACCTCACATAGGCCTACCAGAAGGAAAACTGAAGACAGAGGGATGGAACAACATTTCTCAGATTTTAGAGACCTCAAAACGTCTCTTAACTGTTACGTTGGAAACGGACAAGCAAGTGGTGTCCTATTCTCTTGAACAACTCAGACTCAAAGTACTTAGTTTACTAAGCTGATTTTGTTTCTAGTGATGGATTGGCATAATATTTAAGAGTTGACCAACATGGCAGCATGATTAGCATGAAGACAGGGCTGCACAAGCAAGAGTTGATTAGAAGAAAAAACAGAGACGGGGCAGCGGTTAGCAAAAAAAAAAGTATTCTTCCTAAAGTAGGTGTAGGTGGGGTAAATAGAAGACAG